GTGTATCCCTTCTTTCAAAATTTTCTGTTGATAATTTAGTGAAATTATTATTAATATATTTTCAAATGTTTTTGTAGAATTACAATAAAGGCAAATACGCAGTGGTTGACTTGGGAAAAAAGTAGTAGAGGTACTCTAGTTACTTTTAAAAAAGTAGCGTACCTACCATTTTAACTCATATGAACATGGTAGTGGGGGGGTTACCCCACACCTCTCTTTATGATCCCTCAAGAAGCATAATTAAAGAAACACGGATCAATGAATCATAACGTGTAAAATAATATCATCATTTATTAGGTGTAACTTAAGGTAATTTTTACTAAAAATATACAAAACGTCAAACTTTATCTTCATTTAAAAGGTTCCATAGTTGAGAATAATTATTATCACTGTTTTTTATTTGTCGTTTTGGACAGCATACCTCATTTGCATCTCTTTTTCCATTGAGGATCCATGACTTAACGTAGTTGGCTGGATTAAAAGCTATTACTGGGGGACCAACACATTGTATGAAAAGGAGTGAAGAGATGTGTTGTGTAGTTAATATGTTTCTTTTAGATGTAACAGTGTTATTCATAGCACTGAAAGTCCTTTCACATTCCGATGATGAAATTGCAATTGTTTTGATTGCTACTAATAATGGTTTTAAAGGTGATATTTCTGATATAACTCTAGTGTCTTTATATTCTCGAAAACCTTGTATAGTTGATGTTTCATCGACTTGAAATATAGCTGTCAGCCTTCTTACATTATTATCTCCAAATTGAATATCACAATTATCGGGCCGTGATTTTGGTTCAAGAAATTCCATGTCTTTGAGGAGATCTTCATATTTGTTTTTGAAAGTATTGCCAGAAGTTGCGATGTTTGATGCCTGAAATGTAAAAAGTCTAGAGTGCATGTTATTTGCAAGACTTCTAAAAAACTGTCCAGAGTTTATTTTTGGTATCTTAGCATAATTTATCAATGGAACATCTTTAAAAATTAAATTAGCACATGCGTGACTAGTTTCTTCAGCTCTTGGTCCAGGTTGATCGGCCATTGAATTAAGTACACGAATTGTACGCTCAATGCAAGTATTGGCATTCCAAAGAGATATACTTCTATTCTGAAGCTGCAAATATAAGTTAGCCAATTCAGATAAACCATCATGCATAACACCTATATACATAGAAACAGTAATTAAAAATTGTGTATAATATTATTATTTCTACATTGTTACATACCTAAATTATGCACAAACTCAACTGAACCCAAAATTCTTTTCAATCCTATGTACTTTGCCTTTTCTTTTGAGTCTCTATGGCAGTCATTTGATGCTTTTAAAAAATGTTCATACAGTGCAGAGTAATTATTCCAAACAGCTTTCAACGTTCGTTCCCTAGAAGCTACCCATCTGATAGTAAATATTTTTCCAATTACCAATAGTTTTTCCTCTAATGATGCAGCACATAAACTTAACTCATTTGTATTTTTAGGGGATTGATGGTATAATGAATAGAGTTTTTCTATAAAAAGTTGAAAATGATTTATTCCTTGCACTTCTTTTAGGGTGTCAGACACTGCCAACTCCAATCTATGATTGCAACAATGCCAAACAATAACATTAGGGTACAATTTTTGTAATTTAATACCAACTCCTGAAATCCTCCCCAACATATTTGATGCACCATCACTTACGAATGCCACCAAATTGTGTTTTAAATAATCATGTGTTAAGCCATATTTCGATAAATTATTTAGGATAATAKTATATATAGTTTCAGCAGTTGTGTTTGGTAATTCTACAATATCAAAAAAAAATGTTATTACTTCTTCATCACTAGCTATTGCAGCCCTTAGACAAATTACTAGCATTGTTTTATGACTTAAGGTAGTAGATTCGTCTACAATAATACAGAGTTTTCTTTTGTTTACAACAATTTCACTACACAACTTTTTTCTCATTTGTAAGGTTATATGGTCAATTATATCACCACAGGCTTTGTTTGTTTGAAGGATACGGTCCATATTTAGACCATTAATTTGATGAAGATCTACAAGCTTAGGCATATCTGTAAAAGGTCTCTGGTTCTTCGCTATAAAATATGCAGTTCTGAAAATGTTTTTGGTATTGTCTTCATCAATACTAGATATTTTTAAAATTTGGTTTGGCATGACTTCTAGTTTACTTTTGTCTATTATTAATTGTTCTATTTTTAAGTG